TTTATGACTCCCTGCAATATTATAACTCCCTGCAATTGTACAACTCTCTACAATATTATAACTCCCTGCAATTTTATAACTCTCTGCAATTTTATAACTCCCTGCAATTTTATAACTCTCTGCAATTTTATAATTCCCTGCAATTTTATAACTTCCTGAAATTTTATAATTCTCTGCAATATTATAACTCTGCAATTTTATGACTCCCTGCAATATTATAACTCTCTGCAATTTTATAACTCCCTACAATTTTATAACTCTCTGCAATTTTATAATTCCCTGCAATTTTATAACTCTCTGCAATTTTATAACTCTCTGCAATTTTATAACTCTCTGCAATTTTATGACTCCCTGCAATATTATAACTTCCTGCAATTGTACAACTCTGTGTAATATTATGACTCCCTGCAATATTATAACTCTCTGCAATTATATAACTCCCTGCAATTTACTCCCTGCAATATTTTAACTCCCTGCAATTTTATAACTTCCTGAAATTTTATAACTCTCTGCAATTTTATAACTCTGTGCATAACTCCCTGCAATATTATGACTCTCTGCAATGTTATAACCGCTTCAATTTTATAACTTCCTGCAGTTTTTTTTACATCAGACCGACCAAGTGCATATCTGTTTCTCGCATAATGCAATGTCTCTAAAGTAAATATGAATCCATACACCTTTCAGGAAAATAACGTTTTAACTAAATCGCTAAAATCGTATTGGCTTAGACCAATACTGCAGACATTTTGCATGTTAACAAGTTTAAAGAGTGTGGTCGTTATGCATGCATGAGTTATGGGTTATACACAAAGATGGCGACTTTGACTGTTGCGTCGACCAACGAGTACATACTGAGACGTTACCATGCCAACTCGGTAATTTCTTTGTTCGTCGGAAGGTCATCACCGGCGGTAATTAGTGCGCGTTTCACCCAGGTCAAAAATCGTACTCACGATTTTCATTAGATGAGCACATTGGATTGTGCGAAAATCAATGTTTGTCAACACAAATATCGCACATGCGCGGCGCGATGACCACCGCCCTTTAATCAGGTATGCTGCCCGCAACGATGGAAACTTCGAATGCTGAGCACCGCCAACGTCGAGAAACTGTCCGATACTTTGTGTCAAGGCGACTCCACCAGCTGACTAACTTGAATAGCGTATGATGTTTATGTTACCTTTTTACTTTTTACACCAAGTACCTCAGGTATGTTAACTAACCAATACACGTCTTCGTACCAAGTACCTCAGGTATGTTAACTAACCAATACACGTCTTCGTTTTATGATTGGGACATACACAATCGATTATTGTTTTAAGTAACCGTGGTGCCGTCAAGAAATGTCAAATAATATTTCATTGGTTGAATTTTACTGTTATGTCTTTATGTACGACTAAGGCGAGAGTGAATGCATGTATATCGGAAATACGGTAACAGGCAACCTGTGTCTTTATACCGTGCTATTAAATGCGACCGTCGTTTGTAGGTCTGAGTTAACCTTGCGTGCTTTCTAGTGACCTCGGAAATAACCCTCACCCGTATCACCCCAATGTCTGTTTTGTGTTGTTAAAAAATAAACTCCTTTTTTGTATATAACCTCATACATGTTTACGGTTATCGCTTTATTTAGAATTTAGCTTGGCAGATTAATACATGACTATTATACTTCCATTTACGTTAGTCCATGTATTGCGAATATTCAACGTAACTACTAGTATCACACATGATAATTAGTTTTTTGTCGCCTAGATAAAACATGAGTAGGTAATCTAAGTTACGTAAATCAGTTCAAAACGGTATCCATTAATTCAGTAACTTGATAATCTTACGCCAAAGTTGCTGCTAAACGACTGTGGTGTCGATCGCTGAAAAAGATGTTTGTTTGCCCCCACCGGGGGTCACTCTATATGTGTTACTGCCCCGTGTGCGTTCCAAATTTAGTGGGAAAGGGGTGTGTTTTTACCTTCTAAGCGGGCCCGCGCGGGAGGAAAATATCTGCAATAGGCCCCCAGGAATAAACTCACAGGATTGTTGCCCCCGCTGTAGGCCCGCTCTTGCAACAACCACTCCCATACACCGCCCTATGCCCCGAATTGTCAAACCAATAGCCCCGACCAGGCCCCAAACGTCCGCCCGAACTTTCCCACCGGGACTTTCACGCCACTTCCAACACGAGCATACCGTGACGGAAAGTCACCCCCGGGGTCATCCATACGTCCGAAACTCCTTTCGCGCCTCGTCCTCATTATGATGTTCTCAATATATGTCTGCAATAGGGGGTGTTTTTTTCTTCAATATGTCTGCTCTAAGGGGTACTAAATTTACACTGCGTCCTCAATAGGGGCATGGTTTGCCCATGGAACTATAAATAGCTCCATGGTTTGCCGATGTGCTGCCAGCCATAGTGGGGCTATTATTTTTTTTAGCAAGATGGCACATGGTGTAAGGTTTTAATATAGAGTGACCCCCGGGGTTTGAACAGCTCACATAACTATCGCTGCAGGCCAAGTACATCATGAAAAATGTCCTGCATGATGGTCACGTTTTGGAACAGTAAGACGAACATCGAACCCTTTTATAGAACAAAGTTGAAGAAATTAGTCAAAGATTGAGCTTTAAATCATGAGTGCATCCACCCTTGTGCCATTGTTGCGGAACCAAAGCAAGTAAATACACCACTCGGTAAAAGTTTTTACATTGGCCTTTTATTGTCAACCCCTAATTACAGCAGCTATGTCGAACAATATTAATGACATTGGACAGCGAGCAGCAGCCTTCATGCACTTCTCATAATAGCTCAGTTTAGGCATGGAACTATTATGGGTTTATAGTTCCATGGTTTATGTAAAACAAATATTTTGTCGCCCCATATTAAGCCCATTGATGATAAACATCTGTTCAACGTGTTGTTTACTACGACGAACGTGTTATTTGAATTATATGTAGTAATTTGAAACGCGTGTTTATGATCTACAAATGTCAAATGTAACCTATCTCAACAATGTTTCTATAATAGCACATATTATGCTCGCCTGACAATAAAATGGTGATATATATATATATATATATATATATATATATATATCGTTTTTTGAAAGGTTGTAACTCAGTGAAAGTCAACCCATATCTGCGCAGGTTTATTAAGATACATTGATATCAATGGAATAAAACGTGGAATCATTCGGCGTAAAAAATACGAATACGGTTTAATACAAACAGTATATAGGATCGAACTATAAATTAATAGTGTGGGAATTGTTATACGATGTTATGCCAAAAGTATCGTTCAATGGTTAAACTTTCAATAAGCCTATGTACAGATATGCATAGGCCGTGGGTCACCCCCAAGTTATGGGTCGTTTACTGAGTCTGAGGTCATGAGGAGACATACTTAAAATTGTTGCCCAAATAAGGTCATTCATTAGGCGTGTTATAACATACCCAATTCATTAACCCGTTATTAGGTTCATTGTTTGCGATGAAACTTTGCAGGAATAAACTGTAATTTCATGAGAGTGGTCTGCTGCTGAGTTGAAAGCGATAACCGTGCTTACATTTGGTCGTATAGTGTTCAATTCCTATTCGAGAACTTTTTCTAGCTAGTTAGGTCATGTGAGGAGCAGTTCGATATTTTTTCTCACGTGCCCACGGAATGACCAATCGTGTGTCGACAACTAAAGCGAACGAAACGCACGCATGTTAAATGCTATGCACACGTATTATACATATGCTACATATGAGAGCGTCGTGGCTTTAGTTCGCTTGGCAGATAACATGTACACTTACCTTGCAGAGGTACTGGGTGATTCGACAATCACAATTACAATGTTGCCCAAATTCTAAAGCGCGAGTAAACATAATAAACGAATGGCTGCAGCCGTTGATCACGTGATTACCAGGAATCTAATGTGGTTAAAGCATTGTAATGCATAGTTCTCTCAACAAAACAATAAGTGTATAATGTGTTTATGAAATACTTGTTACATATGTTTATATTATATCTTAAACATGAAAGCTCTTGGTTTAAAGCGCGGCAGTCGTCGCGCAGCGCGTGTTCGATTTTCATGTAAATAAACAATGTATTTTACACGCGTTGTAAACGTCGCTATGAGTCCCATATCGAACGGGACGACGACTGCCGCCCTTTAAAGCATTGCGTAGTTTTGTCGACAAAACACAATCAGTGTATAATTTGTTTATAAAATATATGGTACGCTTTAATATAGATCTATATATTGTTGTAGGTTGATCATAAGTGATTTTGTAACATCATTTGGAAGCAAAGTTTCTACGTAATGTCACTATGGTAACACTGGTATCATTGCAAACCTTAAAAAACACTCGGAGAGCCCATACTCCGTGAAGCAGTTCATGTCCAATAATATCTAACTTACACCTACACGGCAACAAAATTCACATCTCCAACATTTAATGATTGATCATTGCAGTCAAATAAATTTGTTTATAATAAGTTTAGTTATAAATGGAAAATAACTCTAGAAATCGTTGTTACCATGTCAACCATTTCCAAAATCTCAGAAATTATATACGAGTCTGTCCATAATTTGTTTTATTTATAAATAAAAAAAACATTCCCAAAATGTCAGTTGCCATGTCAACTGTATTGACACCAGTACAGAAATCGAATGGACTGCTCCATCTTGATAATGTCACGAGAGTCCACCAATAACTATTTCAGTTATAAATAAAAAAACATTCCCCAAATTGTTTATTCATGGCAACCGTACGTTATTTGTACGATAATTTATTGCGTTCGTGTACGTATTAAAGGCAAGCCCTCCTAGAATGGTGCATAGAAAACCATCATTAACCTCTCGAGTTATGAATGAAAACATTATTCCTGACATTGTTGTTTTCATGGTCACAATATCTGTACCAAAATGTAATAGTTTCGTGATTTTATCAAGGGCAACTGCGAAAGTAATAACTAATGAATGTCCATATTTTCTCTTCACAGGCGATTCATTGATGAGATGGTTCAGTATGATGATCTTTTGACTGACATTGTGGGCGAGTTTGGCACATTTCAGAAGATATGTTTCATTCTATTAGGAATAGCGTGCATACCATGGGGATCTATTCAACTGTCTCCTGTCTTCTTGTTTGCGACGACTGACTCTTGGTGCAAAGTACCGCATGCTGGCGAGATAGGTCAACAGTTCTGCTTGGCCAACATGACAAGTAACTGCGAAGAACTAGTGAAAAATCTCACTATTCCGAAAGAACAGATAGACATTGGATGTGGAATAACCTGGAGGTTTGAACAATGTTACCGATATGATTATGCAAACGCATCATCTGTTATGCATGATGGCAACAGTAAAAGTTACTGGAACATCACTGGCAAAGTAAAATGTGACCATGGATGGGATTACGATAGGTCAGAATATAAATCGACAGTGTCTCAGGAAGTGAGTTGAATTATTGTAATTATTTCACCTAGAGACATTATTAAATATTTGTTCAACACACTAAAGAATGGAATGAGAGCACAGAACTATCAGATTAATATCCGTCACATTTAACAGTGGAAATATTGAAACATTATTTATTGCTTTGAACAAAAAATCAACCGTTCTAAATCAATGTAATTAAGGAGAAAACTGTACACAAAATAATCGTTATAACGTAACTATTCTCACAATTAGAATAAATTAGGATAGTTGCGAAATAAAAATATTAAAAATGATTTTGATTTTTAATGATGGAATATATATATATCACTCTACAAGTTTTTAATTCATTTATACAATAATAACAATGGAATATAATTACAAATATCGTCGTTATGTTGAGATGTTTTCTCTGTTTTTCATTCCACAGTTTGATTTAGTTTGCGATCGATTTTACATGAATGCATTGGCGTCTACAATCTTTATGTTTGGATTCACCATTGGTTCCGTTATGGTGGGATGGATATTTGACAGGTACGGAAAGGAAACAAGCAATCATGTGTTTACATTAAGAATAACGCATATGAATTCAGAACACATAGTGAAAACACAGCCGGCCAATCTGTACGCCGTTTCATTTTATTTTCACTGAAACTGACGATGTTATGAATTTATTTTTCATTGTACATGCACGTCTGCAAAATGTAGTACAGTTCTACTCGAGTGTACGCGGTACTTTAGAACGGGATACACACACTTATATAAATATATCATTTTCGTTGTGCACTTATAACGCTTCAGTCGCCACGTATCAAACTTAGCGAAATTAATGAATGTTAAATGCGTTATAAGCGTATGTTAGGAATCACAACGAACAACTTTGCTTGGAAAAATGCGAAAACCCTCCTATATGAGGCTGACATTAGTGTCGTTCAGGATGTATATACTCATTTTCAAGGCAAATACTGAATAACAGCTGTTTTTTTTTTATTTAATGGCTTTTTTCCAAGCATTGGTCGTAGAAAAGGTTTCATGGTCACATGGTCCGCCACCATAGTTTTTGGTATTATTGAAGCCTTTGCTCCAAACTATATTGTCTTTGTGATTGTACGCTTCTTTATGGCAGCAACTGGATTTGGTTTGTATCTTGCCGGATGTATTCTAGGTTAGTAACACCAGTAACTGATATGTAAAGGAAACTCAGAGCCAGCATCTTCGGGGAGGGGGATAGTCGGCAGCCTAAGGCTCAAATTGTTCGTTTTTTTTGACAGAAAAGACAAACCGCATTTAATAGTTACACGTGACAATTACCCATCGAAAAATGCGCGTTGTTGAGTTGATTGATTGTAAATCTCGAGGTATGAGCCTTTAAAGTCAAACAATGACGTAATTATGTCAATTAGTTAATATTCAGGTCAAGAAAATGAACCAACTTCAAAAACATCATGTAGTTTTATATGATAAAAAAAGTATTTTTATGTAAAATTATGGAATACAAATTATAGATCGGAGCAAGCGATATACATGCTATTGTTAGAAAAGTTGATACATTTTTGACTTGTTTCATGAATTAGTAAAAAACAATTATGTACTTTATTCACACTATACCAACATTAACGCGTTACGATATGAGTTTATATACGAGTTTATATTTAGAAGATGTAATTATATTGATACAAGGGTAAATGGGCTACATAAGGTTACAATACAACCGCTCTACATTTCTTTGATATTGGTATTTTTAGGTCTCTTGTATATATAAAGTATAGAAACATTAACGAATTGAATATGTATTCGTATATAGGACAATAGAGAATGTATATTAATATATGCAACACTTAGAAATAGTTACGCATCTATTCCCGAAGTCAATAACTTACTAACAAGATTCTTGTCCTAACATTCGTAGGTTAATCTGACTGGAAACTGAATCATTACGCCGCATATCGTTATTGCTTGATTACACTACAATATACCCTGTTATGCTTTGCTGTCGAATTCTGCTTTGGTATTGTGCCAAACACAGCTAAACGAGGAATTACGTAATGTTCTATGTTTGCAGTCGTAGCATCAGTAAAATAGACTTCCTATATATTCAAAGAGAAGAGCTATAATGTAGATAATGAAACAACTCAAACATTTTATATGCAATTGAGACCAATCTTCAATAACAATGTTTCGTATTGAATATTGATTTTGTAATACATATTCGAACATCGAACAGAGAATCTGTAATTCGTCAATTTGATCACACCGAGGATGATGACAAATCACAAACGAATTTTTCTATTGGTAAGGTAAATAACACAGCTGCTGCATTTATTACAGTATCCTTATCACGTAAACTTCAAACTAAATTTATTAATAATTTATGGCATGGTATTAATTAAATATTTTAAAACAAGTCACATTGATCATAATTAATATTTTCAAAACATTTTACTTATTGCATTGCAAAATTCTATTCTATGTTATAATAACAAATTAAAACAATTACGTGTTTTTGGAGTTTAAAGGCTCACACCACAAGGTCTAATATCAACCCAGCTTCACAACATGCATTTTAGTACGGAAAATAATGTCGCGTCTAACTATGAAATGTGGTGTACCTTTTCACACAGGGAAGTGCTACAAAACGACGATATTACTTTATATATTCTCACAGTTTTGAATAAATGAACTGATGTACTGATGTATCACCGAACTTTGTAAAACATTTAAGTTATAGATTTTGTCCTGCTTATTGGTGTTTATTAAACACACACCTTTTTAACAATTGAGTGAAACTCGAATGCATGCATGTGTTACATTCTCTCACAACGCACTACGTAACGCAGTCAGTAGTGTGAGTGTATCATGGCTTGGGTGATCAAACCAGACCCAGAGTTATGGGAAACCAAAATTGCAATTGCATATTACAGCGTATGAAATGGTGGGAGTGTGTACAAATCCTCAGCAGTCGCTGGGTTGGTGTGGCTTGTTAGCTGTTGTCTATATCTGGTAGCGTGGCTTATGTGTGGGCTTTGAATACAAAAACAACATTCAGCACCATCAATGTGTTGAAACCGCATTGACTGCGCTGAATGGTACGTTGCATGGAGCGTAAACTTCAATTGACCTCACTGTGACGATGTGTGCGTTGGAATACGGGAAAAAGAGCCCGAAGCATGCGCACTGCGTACACAATGTGCTAATAACCTTTAACGAGGTTATGACGTAGACATATCTCATGAATATTATTTGAAGTGAAATTATTAATAGAAAGCATTTAGTATGAAACTCCGTATGTTCGGTCTTGTTTCCTACTCTATCTATTGTGGTTATTTGAAGACTGTAAACGCTTTCTATCATACTCACCAAATTTAACAACTGCTTTTACGTTTTACACTGTCAAATCTATATGAGCTACGGCAAGCCTAAATAGGTGTCGATTGTATACAGCACCCCCAGTGGCTTGGGTCTTGCTTCTGGGAAAACATTTTCTTTTAAAATCGAGAAAGAAGTTGTACTCTGAATTTCGAATCAAAGACGAACATAATATACAATTCCAATGTTACCAGACGTTGTAACATGGGCTAAGCATGTAATATTGGATATACAATGTATTCCATGAGGTAACTGTTTCCATATATGATGATTTACCCTAGGATGTGAATATGTCGGACCATCTTGGCGTAATGTGACTGGAATGATATATCCTATGTTCTTTTCTGTTGGCATCATGGTTCTGGCTCCACAAGCCTACTTAATACGTCAATGGTGGAGTCTGCAGCTAGCAATCATTGTGCCTTGTGTCCTGCTACTGTGTTACTGGTGGTAAGTTATTAGTAAAAATTTGCGGTATTCGAGGTGGTATAATAGCACAAGTTGTCATTGATAAATGCAGACATATGTTTGTTCTGGTTTCCAAATTACAGGATTATTCCAGAGTCTCCAAGGTGGCTGATATCAAAAGGAAGAATCGATGAAGCTGAAAGTATTATCAGAAGATGTTGTAGAATCAATAAAGTGGCATTTTCAGAGGAAAAATTCTCTGAAGCTATGAGAAACATTGTAAAATCAAGAAATGTAAGAATTTTTACTTATCACTGGTAAATATTTTGAAAGTCCGAACTTTGACATTAGTTTCTATTGTTTGATTATCATTTCATGTCTCATATGTGCTTCCTTGCAACTTCGGATGAATTATTTTTTAATACACGTTAATATTGTTAAAATATTTCAAAAGCATTGCATATAAAATGCATTGCATATATATGTGCAGTATAATATTATGTCGTGCAAAATGCGTCTCAAACCGCCTCAAAGAGAGGTAAGTTAAACATGTTAATTACTTGTCTCACACGTTTTAGAAATGTTGTGGATTCAATTTCACAGAACTCATTAAAATAATTAATTAATCAATCAATCACCTCACAACATCAGTAAAATTTCTTCTACTCTGTATCTGTATTGTAATTCAGGAGTGCTTAGAAGCTGGGGACAAAGCTAATCACAGTTTACTTAGCTTGTTTCGATATCCAAACATGCGAAAGAAAACATTAATATTATTCTTCAACTGGTAAGTAAAGATCTGACAAACGAATATATTTGACTCTTCTTAACAATAAATGGTTTTTCATATGTCATCTGTTAATACCATCACACCAGTGTAAAACTGATGTGGTTGGTAAAAGAATACTGACATGCGAATTATATTTATTACAGGGTGACTATTTGTATTGTTTATTATGGAATATCTTTCGACACATCTAGTCTGGGTGGTAATCCGTACGTTAATATGCTCATCTCAGGGGCTGTCGAGATCCCAGCAGGAGTATGTGGACTTTTTCTGATCGATCATCCGAAATTTGGACGATGGGGAACGATGATCCTCGTGATGATCTCCGGTGGTGTGGCCTGTATCATTTTAACGTTTGTCCCTCCGTGTGAGTTTAAATATATGTAATTGTACAGCACCACTATATATATATTTCAAATATTAGTCTTTGAAATACCTTGCACAAAAAATACATTTATGTCAATTACATGCATTGATTCACCACCAAATGGGTCATATTATTAAATATGTATGTTTATAGAGTGTTTCTGCTTTGACAAATACAATCAAATATACAATTACTCTGAGCTGCACTAAATTGGTTTGTCATGGTTTGAATATTAGACATCTAGTATAATACACTAAGTAATATAACTTATGCAGTAATGTTATCCCGGAATTATCCATGTGCATTGCAGTAAATAACTCTATGTACGTGTCAGAATATGTACTTTTGGTTACTTTGTTTTTATCACAAACTGAGCTGTTCAATTGCACCATATGTTGCTAGGTGGCGATTATGTTTGGATTGGAATAACTTTAGCTATGACAGGCAAGTTATTCATCACTGCAGGGTTCTCCATCATCTACCTGTACTCGGCCGAGTTATTCCCGACACCATTAAGGTACGTCACATCTTATATCATTTACGGGTACTCTACTGAGTTATTACTGAGTTCTAACTCAATGTATGTTTTTACATATCTGGTCACTAATGATGTATAAACTGACCACCAGGTACACTACTGATTCAATAGCGTCCTCATCGACAACATGCATTCATGACATATATATTGAACAAGCGACTACACAAAGTTATTTGATACTGTTGCATAATGTTAAATAACTTCATTTATTTATAATATAGGTCAACTGGTGTAGGCATGTGCTCTTCTATTGCCCGTGTAGGTGCTATGATAGCACCCCAATTAATATTCATGAGCACAATATGGGAGCCGCTTTTTTCAGTTGTGTCTGGTATTACATCTATTGTAGCAGGATTGTTAATAATACCACTACCTGAAACCAGGGGGAGGAAATTACCCGAAACGTTGATGGAAGCTGAGGAGTTCGAAAAGTAAGTATCTAGTAGAAGTGGAATAAAAGTAGTGTAATTAATAATCACAATCGTAATAAAACATATAAATGCGACAAACATCAAAGATATTTATACAGGTTTTCGTTGAAATACTTAATGTCACCTGATTATAGATTCTTTAATTTTCTAACACTTATCATTGTATGTGTAATTCTATTTTTGTACAGGAAGCATAAACCGAATTGCTCTTATCAGGGGTATGGGGAAATTCGAAAAGTGGAAGTAAACGATATATATGAGATGAATGGTATTTGAAATCTTAGTGGTGCTGAGCGATGAATTGTGGACTGAAAACAATAAAAGCGTTTGGTGAATCTCAACGATAGATTGAGTTTAAAACCTGCTTAAACTTAAAGAACATAATTTCACATCTTTCTTCTTCAAATGAACATTGTTATATATAATCATTTGTATATTCATATCCATGGAGATATTGAAATTACGTTAGACGGGGTCATTGGAGGTCGCGTGAGTTGCCAAGCTGTAGCTGAACAGTATATGTTATGTATACGCAATTTAATATTCGGAAATGGAGCTCCCGTGTGCCAATATATGAATCAATCAATCAATCAAATATTTATTTTACCTAATAATGTACACATGCAGATAGTGGCACGTGACCAGCGCTATAATGAAGGTATCTGCAATGTGATATGACTAATGTATCAGATGACTATATATGGTAATGTGACCTCATTAATATGCATAACTTTAATATCTTAAGTAATGTTGCAGATACGGAAATGCAACTGGTGCCATAATTTTGTTGTCTGACAAGATATGTGAGCAAAATATCAAGTGATCATATATGGTCAGTACTCATTAAATATTCATAACTGTAAAACCAAAGCTACTTGGAACCACTGTAATCACTGCTTTCAATTATATTTTTTAATGCTGTATTTGCTCTATTAGAAGTATGTATTACAAAGACATGTCTATGGTCAAAATAAGCTTTCTTTGATTTCTTATTGCGATTTGGTGTGAGAGACGCATAAGTTTTCATGGAAGTATTTCGTTGACACTATGAAAATGGCGCTGCAGTGTTCTCTTCGCGCATTAGGAGAACTGAGGATTTTCGCGTCAAATTAATATCGAATTGTTGTTGTTTTTATTTCACCAGAAAATATATAATAAATAATATACACAATAATAATAATAATAGTAATTCGATTGTGGACCACAGACACAGTTAATACAAACTAGTCTAGTCTGTGGCCCACAATACTGATGTTATTAATTAAATGCATAGCACACTTAACTTGAAGATAAATGAAAAATAATTATATACAGACTTTTGAACATGGCACATTTACTGATTTATGAGATACAGGTTTAACTTATTTTTAAATATGTATCTGCTTTTGAGTTCCAGTTTTTTGCTGCTGTATAGGTGATACTGTGTTGATTAGTAGTAAGATTCATTCTAGGAATATAATGATTGGAACTAGTAACTTGACGTGTTGCATAGTTATGAGAAAAAGATTTTAAGTAGTGGTCAACATTATGGGCAAACGAATTTTTATTAAGATCAAAAACAAACAGACAGGTGTGGAACTTAATGAGTTTTTGGATGTCTAAAATATTTAGTTTTTTTTTAAATAGGAGGGCCGTGGGGGCTCGAAAATCTGAAAACGTTATCAAGCGAACAATTTTTTTCTGGAGTAGTATAATTTTGTCAATTTTGTAGGTGTTACACCATATTTCAACACAGTAAGTAATATGTGGTAATATGAGAGAGTTGTAAAGCAGGATAAAAATAGATCGTGGGACAAAATGACGGATTTTAGACAAAATACCAATTTTAGGTGAAATAGTTTACAATTTTTTTCTATGTGTTCTTTCCATTAAATGTATTATCAATTGTCACACCCAGGTACTTTGTAGATGAGACGCCCTCTATAGTTTTATTTTAGACCTTAACGTTACCACAAGTATGAATTGCTCTCTGGGGTGTTTTAATTAACATATAATTAGTTTTGTATGTGTTGATGATTAATTTATTTGCAGTACACCAATTGCACACCTGGAATTCAATGTTAATGTTGTTGAGATCAATAACATTATTTCTAAAAACTTTGAAAAGATTTGTGTCATCCGCAAAAAGGCGGAAATTGAAGACGCTAGAAGAGTTAGGAATATCATTTATATACAAATGAAATAAAATTGGGCCGAGAATTGATTCCTGTGGAACACCGCAGGATATATTTCTGGGGGACGAATTACAACATACTGTTTGCGATCGGAGAGATAGTTTGTAAACCACTGTAGTACTATACCCCTAAATCCATAGTTTTCGAATTTACTGGTTTACTTTTTTTAGGTCAATAAATATACCAATAGTGATATATCCACTGTCGAGATTTGTAGCTATGTCTTTGATCAAGTCAGCCAGGGCCAGTTTATTATTGTGTTTTTTCCGAAAACCATACTGTAATTTTTGGAGTATTTCATATTTGTCTAAGTAATTAGTTATTTGTTTTCCGACAATTGTCTCAAAAACTTTGCTAATGAAGGAAGAATGCAAATAGGCCTGTAGTTTCCCACATATGTTCTGGATCCTTGTTTAAATACTGGAGTAATCCTGGCTATTTTTAGCCTATCTGAGAAAATACCTTTTATAAATGAGCAGTTAATGATGTGAGCAAGGGGAGCTGAGATAATGAAAGATGACTGAATTACAAGTTTTGAGTGGATTTGGTCGTAACCAACAGACTTTTTTGGGTCTAAATGATTGATCTCGTGGAAAACGTCATACTCAGAAACAGGATGGAAAAAGAATGAATTAGACTGGCATCTATTGAGATATGTGTGATGATCACCGTTGTTAGTTACGTTAGCAGCTAGATTTGGTCCAATATTAGTAAAGAATTCGACAAATTTCTCGGCGATATCAGTGTTGTTAGTTAGTCACACAATGGCCACTACTGGTAGAAGAAGAGCACCAGCTCATTCGACGGATCGGCCTGTACAGAGATGATGGCTTAGCCGCTGTAGACAATAAACCCAAAGAATCTGAAAAAATAAAAAAAGCCATCTGTCGTATTTTCAAACTACACGGTCTGAAAGTCATAATCGAAGCCAATAAAAATATTGTTAACTTCCTGGACGTCACATTCAACCTCACTGACAGCTCTTACAAACCATATATTAAACCCAACAGCCACCCACTATACGTACATAGAGAGAGCAACCACCACAAAGAATATACCGGCAGGAATCAACAAACGATTGTCATATCATTCATCAGACGAGAAACACTTTTATCTAGCCGCGCCACCTTACCAGACAGATCTAAATCAAAGTGGATATGATTACCACCTCAAATTCGAACCTCCCCCCCCCCCACAACGGAAAGAAGAAGAACAAACAGACCCCGTAACAACATCCTCTGGTTTAAACCCCCCCCCCCCCCTTCAGTAAAAATGTGACTAACAGCGTCGGGAGAAGATTCCTCGCCCTGGTTGACAAGTGTTTTCAACAGGGAAACAAACTCAGGAAAATTTTCAGCCGTAACACCATCAAATTGAGCTACAGTTGTACGAATAACGTGAAGCAAATAATCTGCAATCAAAACAAACAACAATTTACAGCGGCCAACACCAATACACCCAGTACCGAAATCAACAGATTATGTAACTGCCGTAAGAAATCTGAATGCCCCTTAGACGGAAATTGTTTACAATCGGCCTTGGTTTACCAAGTTAATATCAGACGGCAAGACAACAACAAGTGTGAAACATATGTGGGACTAATAGGAAATGAATTTAAAACCCGGTACAGAAACCACACTGCATCGCTACGCAACCAATCATTAAGAAACGCAACAGAGCTCAGTAAATACGCTTGGTCATTAAAAGACAATAACATCGATTATGACATCAAATGGAGAGTGCTATCGCGTGCTGCACCATATAATACTTCAAGCAAACGTTGCAACTTATGTATTAGAGAGAAATATATTATAATTTTCCAACCACATTACTGTAGTTTAAATAAAAGAAATGAGCTTTTTTCTTCCTGTAGACACAGAGCCAAATCGCCATGCAACAACTAGTTTTAATATCGTAAACCCACTCCATTGTTATGCAAATCTGTAGCGCTTATAACGTAGTCTGTTCGGTGGTTTATTTAATAAAGTCTTAACTCCTGATGAGTGAGGTACTCCATGTACCTTACACGGTGGTTAAAAAGTTGAATGATTGGCACACACACAAAAAAGAGCTTCTTTATAGCAAAAAGGGACATATCAGGTGACAAATTGTTAGTTAGTCTTTATTCATTGCTGGTGTGCATGTACGTATATTTTTGGTTTGTCTATTTGATTTTCTAAGGACAAAATCTCCGCACACACAATTTATATTCACAACTGCCACATACATGTATGTCTAATTTGGGGCTATGAAGTTACATAAAAACCAATGAAAAATAATTTGACAGAAGCTTTATAGGAAATGTTTACGACAGTTAATTCCTCTTTGGCCTTTAAGACACTCGTTATGTGTTATAAATTGTAGTAAACATTATACTGTGTAAAAACATTGACAATTCCCCCCCTACTCGTATTCCAGCTCTTTCATGCTATCAAGGGTATACATTTCATATGAGTTGTTCCTTCTAGCAATAAACCTTTGTAGACATTGATGAGTGAAAGAATCATCATTTACATCGATGATATCAAAATAATATACACCGTATTTGATAGTTTTTTTTAAATGAAATACTCTGATTGCTGTGAATGACATTGATTTTGCCCATTTACATGTACGTCATTTTTGCGCCACATTGTGTATCCTCACTAGAAAGATAAAAGACGGTAAAACTGCAATACAAAATCAAAATAATTTGATGATTTACATATAAAGCCATACAGCACTGTTTCTTTTTTCATCTTGTGAAAAATATACTTCTGTCTCCTTTCACATGATTTTGTCAACCCCTGCAGCAAATGAGAAATTGTGCTAATTTGGATTGAAATTAACAAAAAAAGAATACCATAATTGCCAGATACCATGCCATTTAGGGCAAGTGTTTGCTACAATCTTTTGACTATCTTTGTCATCATTCTTTCATAGCCTAAATATTATCATTCGTTTTCGCAAATTGAAAATGTGTTATTATATAAAAATAAAAAGAATATTTGCAGTAAAAATTGTTGTGTTAAACAGTTTAATAAGAACCTCAGTGGAACGATCCCTCCCTCCAAATTTGGTGATTTTCTGTGACTAGTGAAATTCATGAAAAAATTGTTACACTAATATTGCAGTGTCCCATCAATGCAGATGTGATGAAAGACCTCACCGACCTTTCCTATAAGCCAATCAAATGTAACTGGCATTCGTCAGCTCATAAACGTATTGATTTCTATATTCCGACAATTGACTTTTATGTAATTGAATTCTACTACATCTCGCGTCATTCTTATGTAAACTTATGTCAGTGTAATATATAAACCTAATCATAGTCTTCGTTTTGAAAATTAATTAT